CAAGCGCCAATCTACTTTCCGTCTCTGTGGATTTGCTTGTTCTGCACATTTCATAGCAATGGAATCACACACTATGGGTGTTTTTTGGTCTGGCCTCTCTCACGCAGCATGCTTTTGAGATTCATCCACGTTGTAGTGGCCTCATTTCTTTTTTATGGTTGAATAACATTCCATTGTGTGGATGGACCACATGTATTCATCCATTTACCCACTGATGGACACTTGGGCTGTTTCCACTTTCTGACAGGAGCAAATAGGACTGCTATGAACACAGGTGTACATGTGTCTGTTTGAGTCCCATGTACCCAGGTGTACATGTATCTGGTTTCAATCCTTTTGGATATACACTAGGAGTGGTGTTGCTGGGCGTAGGGTAATTGTATGCTTTGATTTTTGAGGAACTGTCAAACTGTTTTTCCTAGCGGCCGCACCCATTTTACATCCCCATCAACAGTGCATGATGGGATCTCTCTCTTTCTTTTTTTAAATCTTTGCCCTTAAAAATCTGTCATGAGCTTCTGGAGCCCAAGAAAAAGCCCTTCCCTCACCCCGGCCATACTCCACCTTTACCCACTTCCCGATGTCTTTCTGCTACCATCTTCCTAATCCAGCCGCTGCCTCTACTTTCATCCTCCCACTCTGATCATAATCATTGGGACCTTGGCTGCTGCCAGACCAAGGACTCTGGTGACCTGCTAACCACATAGTCCTGCTCCCTCCTGGGGCCATGGCTCCTTGACCTCTGGGCACAGGTGAGGCACCTATTACCACTCTTTCTCAACCTTTCAGACGTAGCTGTCTCCACTTCCAGTGCCGTGCCTCTGCCTGTGCTCGCCCTAAATGCAGCTTCTGTTTCCTCCCCCACTTCTTGTCCTCCTCCTCCCCTGAGTGGCCTCACTGACCCACTCCAGGGCATCCACTGTCTTCCCAGTCGGGTGACTCACAGACACACTCCTGAGGACGGGCCCAGCTACCTCCTGGGTATCTCCCTGAACAGCCAGCCCACCGGCCTTTTACTTATTTATTTATGTAAAAAAATTTTTTTTATTGATTTTTTACAGAGAGGAAAGGAGAGGGACAGAGAGCCAGAAACATAGATGAGAGAGAAACATCGATCAGCTGCCTCCTGCACACCTCCCACTGGGGCTGCATCCTACTGGGGATGCGCCTGCAACCAAGGTACATGCTCCTGACCGGAATCGAACCAGGACCCTTCAGTTCTGCAGGCCAACGCTCTATCCATTGAGCCAAACCGGTTTTGGCGAGGTATCTTCTAATTTACTAACTTTTATATTCAGCTATAATTAATCTGCCATTTAATCTACCGTATTTGCCGGCGTATAAGACGATTTTTTGGCCCTGAAAAATATGCCTCCAAGTGGGGGGTCGTCTTATACGCCAGGTACACTTCAGATAGAATGCCCATAGTGCTTGCCCCGTGCCATAGTGGCCTCCCGATGCCCGCCCACTTCATTCCACATACCGTTCAGGCATAAGCAGCGCTGCTGGGTGTATGCTCGTTTTAGACTCAAGGTAACCCAGAGTGCCCCAACCTCAGCATGGATGACAGCTGGGGCCAGATCATTCTCTGGGGCGGGGGCGTCTTATGCATCGTCCAGTGTTTAACAGCATCCCGAGCCTCTCCCTGCAGATGCCAGTGGCACCTCCCCCTCCACGGTGTGACAACCAGCCTCTCCGGACATTGTGGGATGTCCCCCGAGGGGACAATTGGCCCTGGTTGAGAACCTCTAAGACAGTGCAAATCAAACAGCAAACTTGACGTGCTGAAGTTTGTCCAGACCAAGCTGTGAGCACCTGTAACCACCACCTCATCTTGTGATCATCTCTTCTATTATTTCTATGTGTGATGGCGGTTCACAGTGATCACATGTCTTGCCTCAGGTCACATGGCCAGGAGCCCTATTCTCGGTGACTCCTCATCCCCAGGACCTTTCACTTGTTTCTCCTTCCATCTCTGAGGGCAGAGAAGCTGGGCTGACACCCTCTTCTCCACTCCTCTGCTCCCTGGAACCCCACATTCAGCCAGTCAGCAATGCGGATGTCTCCCACATCCTTAAAACAATCCACATCCTTCAAAAATCAATAATGTTTATTTTTAAAATTTTAAATATATCTTTATTGAGTTCAGAAAGGAAAAGAGAGAGAGAGAGAGAGAAAGAGAAATATCAATGATGAGAGAGAATAATTGATTGGCTGCCTCCTGCACACCCTCCACTAGGGATCAAGCACGCAACCTGGGCATGTGCCCTGACCGGGAATTGAACCATGACCTCCTGGTTCATAGGTCGACACTCAACCACTGAGCCACGCCAGGCGGGCTGTAAAGTGTTTTAAAACAACCAATCAGAATGGGGCTTTCCCCATGCTCAAGCACCATCTGCGATTCCTTATTTCCCAGATCAACCCTCAGCCACGGGGACCGGCCTTCAAGGCCCTTCACACCCACCCCTGCACCCCTCCAGCCTCCTCCACTCCCACATCCCCAGGCCAGGGAAAGCCATCTGCCCAGCCACACCCTGGGCTTCTCTCTGTCTGAGCCCCACCCCCTCTACCGCACCTGTTGAAATCCAACCTCTCCCTGAAGTACCAGCTCAGATGTCACATCCTTCACGTAGCCTCCCTGGCCTCCCTTCTGCCTCCTCCAAGCAGCAAAGCTTCAATTATTTGTAATACCCTGTCTTCACCTGAAAACACTGCCCCTCCCGCCCTGGCCAAGGGCCCAGCCCCGAGTGAAGGAGCATTATTGAAATGAAGAGTCCACGTGTACCACCTGCTAGGGCAAGGGGGCATCTTACACTTGTTCTTATTTTATTTTATTTTATTTTCAGAGAGGAAGGGAGAGAGAGAGAGAGAGAGAGAGAGAGAGAGAGAGAGAGAGAGACCAATGATGAGAGCGAATCACTCTCATCTGATGGGCTGCCTCCTGCACACCGCACACCAGGGATAGAGCCCACAACCTGGGCATGTGCTCTGACCGAGAATCGAACTGTGACCTCCTGGTTCAATCACTGAGCCACGCCAGCGGGGCTTGCACTTGTTTTTAAATTCTCTCTTAAGTTTTGAGCTATCTGCTTCTTGTTTTCTGGGACTGGTGAAAAGATTGGTGCCCTAATAGTTCCCAAAGAGATCTTGAGCTTCTTCCTCCATCTTTGTTAAATCAGACAGATGGTGTCTGATTCTGAAATTTCAACCGTTCACAATCCTCTGTCACCATTTTGCCCCACCTATGTAATATGTTTCCATTACTGAATTAATGGCTTTCTTTTAGTGGTTTTCCTTTTAAACCTTATTTATTTTTAAAAAACTTACATCACTTATACCAACAAGACTGTGTTTTTTACTCATTAAACCAAGTCTCTCATATAGCATAAATATATAACATAGAAAATGTTCCTCCATGTGTTATCTAAAATTACTAGTCTTGCCCAGCCAGCATGTTGACATCTGGGATTACAGTCTGTTGTGAGAGACTGTCCTATACTGTGGGGTGTTTAGCAGTATTCCTGACCTCTACCCACTAGATGCCCATAGCACTTCCACCCCCAGGTGTGATGGCCTAACCTGTCTCCAGACATTGCCCAATGTCCCCTGGGGGGGAGCAGAATTGCTTTAGGTGAGAACCGCTGTACTAAAGCGCTACAACAATCTTCTGTGGTTCACAGGGAGTGTGTGATGGAGCAATTTGGACCCTCTGCTTCCAGAGTCCACGCTCTAACCACTGTGTGACAGGGCCTTCCATTTGGCCTTGGTCCCGGGCTCTGTCCTCTGAGAGTTCAGCGCTGCTCGGGACCTGCTTCACCTCTCGGCCCCACCCACCAAGCTAACCAGCCCCGAGGTCAGACCTCCCACCTGGCTGGCTCACCTGCTGGGCACGAAGTCGGTAACTGCATCCAGAATTTATTTTTGATAAATCAAAAGACTTTGGAATAGCCATCCTGGGGAAAACATCTGCACTTCCTTTCTTCAGCTTTTTAGGGTTTTAACTTTTGAACTCATTGTTTCCTCCTAGCTTCAGGCTCCTCCGTGTTTGACCTGGCCCCTGCCTGAACTCAGACAGTCACACCTCCCCTTGAGCTTGCAGCCCGTGCCTCAGTTTCCCCAGATGGGCTGGCAATAATAGTTGGAGCCTTTGCTCTTTCTAGCCTCCTGTGGCTGTCTCCCCCTGCCCCCCCACCAGGCCTTTGACAGATATTTCCTGGGCATCTGGTCTGCTGGGCCCTGAGGAGACCGAGGAGAGTCAGAGGCCAACCGTGAGTCCTCCCAACTGCCTGCCCACTTGCCCAGGTCAGCCAGCCACCCACCCACCGAAGAATGGTATCTCTGTCACATCCGGAGGTGGGGCTGACCCTGTCTGGACACACCTAGAGCAGAGGGGCTGGCCAAAGACAACGATAGGATCAAGGGAGGGTCAAGGTGGCTGGCATGGGGAGGGTGGGGTGGGAGGAGCAGAGCTAGAGTCTGGTGCTGCTGGCTGAGGCCGGAGGTTTTCCTGGAGGGCGAGCCGCAGAGCCCCAGGGGCCTGGGCTGGACCCAGGATGCAGAGGGAGCAGAGGGCCGGGCTCCCAGAGATTGGTGGAGTCTGGGTTCCTGGTGGCCACGGAGGAGGCTCCTGGGGGCTTCTGGGGATCAGGGGTGCTGACTTAGGGACCCCTGTCCAAGCTGGGGAGCAGGCCCTGAAGTGGGGGCCTTGAGGAGTGCTGGGATGGGAGGAGGGTGTTGAGGGAGGATGGAGGAGGAGATCCCGGCACCGGCAGGAGCAGGGGGCGAGGGGCCTGAGCGTTTGCGGTTTCTGGGCGTCCGCACGTCTCTTTCGCTGTCTCTCTGCGTCTTTCTCTCCATCTCTCATCTCTCCAACTCGGTCTCTGCGTCTTTCCCTTCCC